AACCCATGTCCTGCTCACTTATCTCACAGTTTAACCGAATATAAACATGACTCTTTTAAACCAAACTAAGCACATAAAAGCATATGAATTCGGCCAACAAAAGTACAAAGGAGCTCAGCCATTATACCTCGATCAGGATTTAAAATGGAAAAGAAACCAGGCTCGGGTCTCGATCCTTTGCTCTCGGCTTCTTGTTTTTTTTGTGGTGATACTCCCGGCTTGCTCTCAGAAACGGCCCAGCCTGCTGCCGCTCTCGACCGTGCCCCGCCTGCTCTCAGCCTTCCGGCAATGCTCTCGACCGCTGGACACGACTACTTCGGGCCTGCGTCAGTCGCGGATGAGCTCGGGTCGGACTCGTCTGCAGTATGATGACTCTCGGCTGCTCCTCGTCGCCGGAAATTAGAGCTTGGGTTGCGGCGGCTCGCATCTGGTTCAGGTCATCGGCTCTGGGGAACTTTTTCGATTTGCTGGACAAGGTCGCGGCTCATCAGACGGGGTCGGATTTCAGAAGTTGCGGCTCGTGGATGTTGATGCTCCCAAAGGTCGCAGCCCCGTCGGAGATCGAGGGTCGCCGTTCACCTTCTTGCCGGAAAATTGGGGCTCAAGGTCGCGGATTGCTGCTTTCATGGCTGCGGGAGTCTAGCTTCGTGAGGAAGATGCTGGGATTTCTTAAGAAACCGCTAGGGCTTTTGCTCTATAATTTCTTTTTCAAATTTTGGCAAATGGGAGAGAAAAAGGGAAAAAGAAGCGGATGAAAACGAATAAAATGAAAATAGAAAAGGGAAAAAATGAAAAAGGTATACAAGGGCAATTAAGTATTTTTACAAGCCAAAATGGTTATATTTCCTTTTTTTTTTTAAAAAGTGGCTAGATTTCATTTTTTGTTTTGTTAAAGTGCTATAAAGCACCATTACCACAAATCAATTAAATGGAAATAGGAAGCTCATCACAGCAAAAACACAGTACAACAATGGACCACATGTCAATCGAGATCGTAAATGACGATAATCTCCTTTCCTCCATTAAACAAAAAATGGTATGCGCTCCTCCATCCCATTCTGTATACAGAGTCCCTAACCATCTTTGCAAAGAACACGAAGAATATTACTATCCGTCCCTAGTCTCGATCGGCCCTTTTCACCGAGGCCGCGAAAGTCTCAAGGCCACGGAGGACCAAAAGTGGCAATACTTCAACACGTTGCTATACCGAGAGCCCAACACCGAACAAACTCTCGACGACTGCATAAAGGCAGTAAGAAATGCAGAACAAAAGGCGAGAGAATTTTACGGTGAGAAAATTACTATGTCTAGCAATGAGTTTGTCGAGATGTTGTTGCTCGACGGATGTTTCATAATCGAGCTCTTTCTCGAGTTTTATTTCGAGAACTTGAGGCGTAGGGACGATCCATTCTATAGCTCCCAAGATTTAATCCAACGGTTGAGGTGCGACTTGATTTTGTTCGAAAATCAACTTCCGTTTTTCGTGGTGGACCAAATTTTTCGACTAGTCCCTATCCCAAAACATTTCCGTGTTCCTTCGCTCTTCGTGCTCGCCTCGCGTTTTTTCGAGAAGCTAATCCCGGGCGATCGTGCGGAGTTCGATAATAATGACGAATTTGCCCCTCGTACGTATCACTTACTCGACCTCATCCGACAACACTATCTTCCTACAATTGTCGAAGCGAAGGTTTTGTCGAGTGGAGGGGAGGCAAAGGTTCCTCAGGCGACGCAACTTTCGGCTATTGGGATAAGAGTCGAGAGGGCCATTTCGGAAAGCCCGACGAATATAAGTTTTTTCAAAAGAAAACTCGAGATCCCGTCTCTAGAAATAAATGTTTACACCGAGTTTTTATTTAGAAATCTCGTCGCGATGGAGATTTGCGACCCGCATTGTACGAAACACTTTACGTCTTATGTTGTTATAATGAAGAGGCTCGTTCGGTCGAGGAGGGATGTGAGATTGCTTCATGAAAAGGAAATTCTTGTGGGTGTGCATGAAAAAGAGGGAAAGATTGTGCATTTTTTTCAGAGGCTTGTAAATGTGGATTTGAATGAGAAGGATTTTCACTGTAAGGGGACTTGTGAACTGATTAGTGAATACCAAAAGAGGGGAGAGGGTGGAGTGTGTTGGAAAAATGTGAGGCAAGTGTACCACACGAGTCACTTGGGAATTGTAGGTTTGAGCTTGGTCGTGTTGTTTTTGGTGGTTCTTTTCACGGGAGGATTGATGGTAGCCATTTATTTTCTTTCCCACTAATTTTAGATTTTTTTTTTTTGGGCAATTATCATATTCTATTTTGGTGAGTTATATGATATCTTATTCGTGGTAATAAGTTTGTACGTGTTTTGTTTTGTCGAGAGATAACAGCAAAACCGAGTGAAGTTATGTGACTTTGTCCTGTGTTTTGGTGTGGGCTGCATAGGTCTTTCAACATTCTTTGGAACATAATAGCATAAGATAATTTCTTTCCCGAAATTTTTTATTTGTTATTACTTATTACAATCTGAGCAATTGTAACCAATAGCAAGCACATTGTTTTGCACATGCGCACCAAAGGGAAAAATAAATGAAAGGAAAAGAGAAATAAAACGAATATGAATGTGGTCTGTTTGGCCCATGAGAGAAGGAAGAAAATACATATTATAGTCCCATCCACAGTTTTAAAACCCGGAAGTGATTGACCCGACCTAGACTTTGGGTCACTTGTCCAACCGTCTGAATATCGGGTCAATTGCTAAAGCAGGTGATTAATTTTATAAATGTATAAATTATAGTTATAATTATAATATAACTATACTTACAGTAATAAAAGTAAATTACTTATATGTAAATTTTATACTCCAAAGTCTTAAAAATATTATATTTTATCATAAATATTTACTATATAAATATATATAATTTTATTTTTAAAAATAAAAAAATAAACAAAAATATTTTAGTGTTGGGTTCAATCCAAGTTAATCAGGTCGGGTCAGTATTCGTATCGATTTGTCCAAGATCGACTTGACCGTGTCTCTTGCTCCCATATGAACAACCCATCAGACCGGTCAGAATCAACCCGCGGGCCTGTTTAGGCTTCAAAACAGCTAGTACGATATCCGTGTACTACACGGGTGCATGAAAAAATAATTTGAATAAAGAAAAGAAAAGAGTTTAGTTATTGTGAGTATATACAAAATAAATGAATTGAAGTTTCATAAAACACAAACTATTATACATTGGTATTTTATTTTAACATTGAAAAAATTTCTTTAGTTCTATTTATAATTTATCAAGTTGAAAGAAAAAATGATGAATGTGTTAAAATTTATCAACTTGAAAAAATAAAATAAAGGATGATAATTAAGATAAGAGACGTGTTTAGTTAATACTATATTTATTATATTATCCATATAATTATAATATATAATATTAATTCATCGTTATTCATTACGCAAAAAAAGACACATACTAAAAAATAGGCTAAATTTATCAATTTGAATAAATAAAAAACTATAATGAATGGGATAAATTCTTAGTAAAATAAAATAAGAAAATAAAGATTTGTGTGATAACAAATTTGGTAATGAAAGAGGTTTATGGGAGTCAATTATATTGGTAAAAAAATTATTTATGACACTTTTCAAGTTAATTTTATTTTTAAATTTTTTATCTGAACCTAAATACAAAGCATAATATTATGATATGTAGGATTTCAAAGCGTGAGAGCTTGTCACTTAAACTCGAATTAATATATAAGAATATGGTTTACTTTCATCCTTTTGTTTTGAGTTGGTGGAATAAGTTGTATTTGACCAAGTGAGTGAAAGCCCCAAAATGAGACAAGATAGTGGGTTATCCTATATTCCATTTCCACTAATCAATATGCTCTTTCTTATCCTTTTTCTTGAGAAGACGTGCGCGCGTGTTCTACATTAAAAATAGTACCACTTGTTCCAAAATCAGTGTATTTAGTGGATGTTTATTTGGTTGGATTAGGCAGGATATCCCGCTTAATTCTGGCCTAATTCTGCATTTGGTTCATGGGACTGAAGCCAGCAGGAATCTCATCGGTCCAGTATAAAAATGGCTTAATCCCTTATACTTGGGATAAACTAATTTCAGGAAATATGTGTGATTATTCTTATCCTGCTGTAGTAAATTTCTATTTTATTCCTATTTTAATAATTTTCGGACTGTTTTTGATTTATTTGAAAAGGGTAAAACAGTATTTTATACCACCTACACATTTTTTTTTATTTTTTAATTTAAAGTTATTCTACCCCTTATCATATATAACAAATACAGGAATAGTCCAATCCCAACAGTACAATCCTTCCCCATTGGACTAAATTAGTCCAATCCCATCTTGAAAAGCAAACAAGGGCTTATTGAATATATTGATGCATAAACTAATCTGTTGTGTTATTTAGATGTGGTGAAGAATTGTCGTACCTTAATTGCGATATTCGTAATACAATAGATTACGATTAATGTTCACAAACCTAGTTTGAAAATCCAACAGTTTTAATTTATTAGGTTGCGACATATTTTTTTTATCTAAATAATTTATTAGAATATCACTTGTGAGTTATCTCATTTATACAGAGAAAATAGACTAACTTATAAGCCCAGTGGGCTAGTACTTCTACTACCAATTGATTTTGGGATGTAACATCACTATGGTGCATCAAGACTCACTCTCTTATTGTGCGTTACACGTGCGTAGGACCAGACCCGTTTTTTGATATTATAGCCGTCATACGTGGGTCCTTGCGATAGCAGCCAATATTTTGGAAAACATCAGTTTAAAAGAGAATTTCTTTTATAAAAGCATAAAAATATCTTTGAATGTGAATGGACATCTATATCAATATCTATATCTATATATATATAAAGAGGTTGTTGGAAAAATACACTAGTAGAAAGCTTGATCAAATAAATATAATGTTTGACTTACTATTAATGGAAAGTTCAAAAAAATATATGTGAATCTTTAGTAACAAAATCTGAATCCTATTTCTTTGGTAACTAATTTGGAGATTCTTATGGAAAAATTTGAATCCCATTTTTTTCTTATCATATTTTATTTTTTACCAAAATTTAAATCATATATTTTTTGGTAACAAATTTGGAGGTTCTTATGCAAAAAATGTGTGAATTATTTATGAAAATAATTTTAAATGAAAATTAACTTAAAAACCGTACAAAATGGATACAAATTTAGGAAACAAATAGTTGTATAATTCTTGACCAATTCTTCCAATCTTATTGAATAATTTTTTCTTTAAAAAAAATTGTGTAAATTGGATAAAACCACGTGCAATTTTTATTTTAGAATAAAACTGATATTTGGACGGGGTGTACATTCAAAATTGTGTCCACATTTTTGGTAACAAAAGTGGTTCATCTTTGATATTTAAAGTCACCTTATCCAATAATTTAAGAAAAATTGTGTGCAACTTTTCAAAATTTAAATGCATCGATTTTTTTCGATTCCTATGTTTTTCTTAACCATGTTTTACCGAGATTTTGGTAAGTTCATACCATTTTTCTTTGGTTAAGTTCATATCATTTTCTTTAGGAAAGAGTGAGTTGAATAAACATTAACAAATTGTTTTAATTTTTTATTCAAATTATTTTCAATTCAATTTGTTTGGTAAAAAAATCGGTGCAGTGTTAGGAAAATTATGTTGCATTTTTAAGCAAAATTGCTGATTTTTTTATTTGGATTAAAAAAATATTCAGATCAATTTGTTTGATAAAAAAATCGGTTTATTGGTAGGAATATCGATTTCATTTTCAAGAATAATTAATGTTTCTTTTTAATTTTTCTTAATTGAAATTTATAATTAAATTTAAAATAAATAATGGGTGAAAATTCCTAAATATTTTTACTTTTTTTCTACTATAATTAGTTTAATTAATAAGATTTTTTAATTTTTTTAAATTTGTTAACTAATAACTAGTAATGTACAATTTTAGATAAAATTCGAACACCTATGTAGTATTTTACGTGCCAATGAATCAAACTAATAATGTTGTACATAAGAAAGTGTTTAATAACATATAAATTTTTATTTTCATGATATTTTTAATGCCACGAGACAATTTAAATACAAAAATATCTTTTAAAAAATAAATAGGTAATAAATGCTCCCGTGCATCGCACGAATACCGTACTAGTGAAATATAATATAACGTTTAAAGTTCATGTAATGCAAAATAATAATGATAAATGGATGCTAGCTAAAAATATGTAAATGAATAAATAGTAAATTATATAGATGTGTAATAATGTTCCATTCTTATTTTTTAGTTGTGTTGATAAGATTGTAACAAAAAAATATGAACAAATGAAAAATAAATAAATATATAGATTCTTTAATCCTATCAAATGAGACAAACTGAATATTATACAGGAATGATTGCATTTTGCATTCCTGTTACATGATGGTTCTGTCAGTGTTTTTGATCGTTGGATACATAATTAAAAATATGTCCTGTTATATGATGGTTCCATCAGAACTTTTCACCGTCAGTACTATATATTCTATATATAATCGATCCCTCACTTCACTCTTTTCTCTACAAATCCTACTAACATAATTAAGAAAAAATAAAAATCAATCATTAATATTAAATTTGTAATAAAACAATACCATTCATCCCTCATGTATTTCTAAGTTTCTAACTCTCAATCCATCAATTACTATTTTTTATATCATATCAACTTTAATTGTTATATATTATCTTTATATTCACTCACAATCTTAAATTTATTTCATTTTTCCAAAAAGTAATTTTATAAAAAAAAATTATCTTATTTTTTAGGTTTAACATTTTTTTTGAAAGAAATATAATATTCAATGGCAAACTCATTTTATTTGAGTTTGTAAGATCAAAAGTCATTTTATTTTTCCATCAAACGATTAGTCCATGCTAAAAGAAAAAGGGAAATGAAAATCTTTCGCCCTTTCTGGACTGAAATAGAAAGCCCGTATTTAACAAATACGTTTTTCTAATTTTTTTTTTAACAGAAACCGTATTTAGTAAATACGTCTTCAAAATAAATTTGTTTACTTTTTTAAAAAACACATTGCCGAAAAAATGTATAAACAATATAATAATAAAACGTATTAACAAAATACGTTTTACAGAAAACCCCAAAATTAAATTGGAAACCCTAAAACCTAAATAAATCAATTTTTGTTTTATAAAAAAAATCAATTTTCGTTTTAGAAAACGTATTTGATACATACGGTTTTTAATATTAA